AGGAACAAGTACCATCAGATTGGAAAGAAGGATACCTGATCAAAATACCAAAGAAAGGCGATCTCAGCAAGTGTCAGAACTACACAGGCATCACTCTTCTTTCAATACCAGGCAAAGTCTTCAACAGAGTATTGTTAAACAGAATGAAGGACTTCATAGACGCCCAACTTCGAGATCAACAGGCCGGATTTCGTAAGGATCGATCGTGTACTGACCAAATTGCTACATTACGGATCATTGTGGAACAATCAATTGAATGGAACTCACCACTGTACATCAACTTCATCGACTACGAGAAAGCATTCGATAGCGTGGATAGGAAAACACTATGGAGGCTTCTTCGACACTACGGGGTGCCTGAGAAAATAGTCAACATCATACGGAATTCTTATGATGGATTCAACTGCAAAATCGTGCACGGAGGTCAGCTGACAGACTCTTTTGAGGTAAAGACCGGTGTAAGGCAAGGTTGCTTACTCTCACCCTTTCTCTTTCTCCTGTTCATCGACTGGATTATGAAGACGTCAACATCTGGAAGGAAGCACGGTATCAACTGGACAGTTAGGACGCAGCTTCACGATCTGGACTTCGCAGATGACCTGGCTCTTCTATCGCACACGCAACAACAAATGCAAGAGAAGACGGCCAGTGTAGCAACAGCCTCTGCAGCAGTAGGTCTCAACATACATAAAGGAAAAAGCAAAATTCTCCGATGCAACACAACATGCACCAACCAAATCACTCTTGATGGAGATGCTTTCGAGGACGTTAACAACTTTACATATCTGGGCAGCATCATCGACGAGAAAGGTGGATCGGATGCAGATGTGAGGGCGCGGATTGGCAAAGCGAGGGCTGCATTTCTACAGTTGAAAAATATCTGGAACTCCAAACAACTTTCAAACAAAACCAAAATCAGGATTTTCAATACAAATGTGAAGACAGTTCTACTGTATGGAGCGGAAACTTGGAGAACTACCAAAGCCATCATTCAGAAGATACAAGTGTTTATTAACAGTTGTCTACGCAAAATACTTCGGATTCGTTGCCCAGACACCATCAGCAACAACTTACTGTGGGAGAGAACAAGTCAGATTCCAGTGGAGGAGGAAATCAGGAAGAAGCGGTGGAAGTGGATAGGACACACACTACGAAAAGCACCGAACTGCGTCACGAGACAAGCCCTCACATGGAACCCTCAAGGCAAAAGGAAAAGAGGAAGGCCAAGGAACACACTACGCCGAGAAATAGAGAAAGATATGAGAGGAATGAACAAACATTGGACAGAACTGGAGAGAGAAGCCCAGGACAGAGTTGGTTGGAGAAAACTGGTGGGCGGCCTATGCTCCATTGGGGGTAACAGGCGTAAGTAAGTAAGTAAGTAATGCATGAAATTTATTTTTACCAACAACCTTTATTCATCGAACACAAATTAAATATTATTTTAAATAGAATTTCCAGCATATTGAATGACATAAATTTTAATTAATCCTGTAGATACACCAACCACAAACTTCATGTAGGTAGTATAACCTAGATATTCAATTCAACCACTCGAATAATTACTATTCGGGATAAATACTTCATTACATCTTAACAATGCCAGGATCATTGATGGAGGTGTGGCATGATTGAAGACATTATCCCAAAACATGGTTTAGAGGGTGATATTTTACTGTCATCCGTCTCATGGTGTGATCAAAAATCTATCATCCTTTAGCTAAAAATGCTTTGTAAAATCAATATGTTTTGGACCTATTTCTAGAATTTTATCTTATGAAGTGAAAACCAGCACCTGTGGTTCACTGATTGACTAAAATTAAGTAAACGTGTCATGTTTTGGTCAAACTCGATACTAACTCCGATATCCATTGCTAACTTACGCTTATTTTATTCCTTTCTATCAGATAAGTATCATATATAAACAAGATATATTGTACTTATTGACTATTTTCAGTTTATGAGCACTTGCACTGCTAGACAGCTATTTTGTGTGGAATTATTCATGATTGTAAACTGGATTGCTAGCTTTCACACTCAAATCTACAAGGTTACTTTTCTGTTAAGCTACTTCAACTAGTTGTAATTGATTTGTAAAGATTAGTATTTCCTCATAGTTGATGGTAAGCTGTACAATTGTTCATTACATTCGAAGTTAATAGGCTCAACAATATCATTTAATATTAGTCAATATCAGTCATCATTGTAAGCAGATAACATTGTCAGTGCAGAAAATGCCCCCTTATAAATGGATTCATGTAGGCTGCGCAATTTTATACTTTCCCTGGATCAGCGCTTCAGTACATAAGTTGCGGTTCAAAACTAGGATCATTGGGTTCGAATCTTTACGAAAACGTCAACACTGGGCTGCAGATGAATTCATATTACGAGTACCAGTTATGTTGGAGTATAAACTTTGTTAGCCACAATCCATTAGACGCTAAAAGTAACTGTGATTTACTTCATGTTCTCATTTGATATTCTAGATATCCTTAGATTTCAGAATTGTATGGCTCTATTAAATACAGTAGTCACTAATCAACAATTCATTTGATCAATAAAATAAGTATGTGTTCTTTAACCATCCGAGTAACCTTTTTGAATAAACAACTGTTGGATAAGAATCATTTAAAAAGAGTACATTAGCCGTTTCGTGAACTTCTTACTCGATTCCCTCATGCCTGAAAGTATTGGTTACTAGATGAAGTAAGAGTTGATAGGTTTCATTTGAAAGTGGATAATACACAGTTATATTAAATGATGTGTAGGTGTTCAGCATACAGAACATGTCAGAGAATTTGGGTTCAACTTTAAGATCAGAAAACTTTGAAAGTAAATCTTTCAATGGTATCAAGGGCTTAGACCTCATGTAAACATATCGCATTTATCTAAACAACGTATCCTGCTTTCATCATTTCTAAATAATATCAAACGAATAGACAAGAAAATAAGATTACTTGATAAAAATGACTGGAAGTTCAGAATGATCACAAGATTCGTTCAGTGTTTTGGAATGATTAGTACTTGCTATAACAATAATCCTGCAACACAACGTGACGTAATTTAATTGCTTTGTTACATCTCGCCGTGTTGGTTTTTATTGTAAGAATAGACAGTCTGTGTGCTGTCTTCGATAAATTCAGCATCAGTGCATAGATTTTCTTTTCTTGTTAACCAGTTGATATATAAGAAAAGATACACCAGGTTAGACATCGGTTATCATATTTATGAGTTCCAGATCATACCTGAGCCACACATAAATCAAAATTCACAGTTACTATCTACGGGGATACAACCTTTGTCGTTAAAAAATATGAGGTAATTCCGTGGTGGTCATGTATGACGACAGCTATAAAACTATAGAATTCCAAGTCTCAACTTGATAGTTATTTTATCACCACCAGTTAGCTAGGTATTAGAACAAATGGATTTCCAAATTCATGTAGGTCCCAAGAAACCCCTTGATGGATCAGAATGGAAGACAGTTCTGTGATGTAAAATCGTATAATGATAGAATCTCTTGTTTGTTAACTTAGATAAAATCGAATGTATTTGCTATACATTTAATCCAGCACAATTAACTCAATGATTATTTTAAATTATACATAAGTGACTACATAGTCAAGTGCTTCATTCAAATTAATTCATGTACACTGATCAGTAAATCTTGTACGAATCGATCACAACTAGCTTTACAGCTAACTTGGTAGTGAGATATTCAGAACAGAGTAAATAATACTGAATCTTACATGAGCAAGACAAAAGTGGTTGTGTAGCGGAGTCTACGAATGATAATTTAGCAAAAGATTAGAAATAGTAAATCATAAAAAATTAGTTACTGGGTCAATTAGGAGCTCATAACAAAAGGAATATAATAATTGTAGGATGAGAATATATATTACCATAATCTGTCAATCTTAAGAGCTACCATTTCTTTAATCGTCCCACTGATATAGCACCCACAAATAAGAACAAGCTGAGTATTATATAGGTGACAATAGAGCTTCTCATACAATTTTTTGTTTTCAATGTCAGTCAGTCAAGTTGCAACGTAGAACTTCGTACGTATGTACATAAGTTCATGTTGCCGTACCGCATTAGCACAGAGACGCAAATGTCAAATCAAATCCCATAGTGATAAAGATAGTAGAGGTATTAATGGTAATGAGGAAGACTAGGGTTTCAAGATATTATTCAAGAAATATAATTCAGTGAGATAAGTTTAAAAAGACAAAGGTGAGGAGCTGACGATTCCAGAAGATTAGGATTTGAGAGAGCTCAATGACAATCAAGTGCTGGTAGCAAAACTGATGCTCAAATTATGTCTTATTGTCAGTCAAAATCATTGCAAATATCGTAGCAAAAGATGGAACACACTAAATATTCACAAAGATACGTAACGATGGTTCCATAGTAATTATTCTTTATCATTAAATGACATTCATGAGTATAGCTTATTTTTTCGAATTAGCTAAAAACTAAGTAGCAAAGAATTCTTCACACTGAAGTATTATTAGCAGAAATGGATGGTGGCTCACAGTGGGATTCAGAACGCGCGTTTCATTCTCTTTGGGACTCATCAACGGTTTTCACTTCGAACACTATCGCGTTATTTACTAAGCCACTGATTCCAGATAGACACTGGCTTGTGAGATGAGGTAACTTTTTTGAAAAAGACAATTTTTTCATGAAATAATTCTGTTTTCGTGTATTACAATAATAAAATTAAATAAATTTGTGAATACGAAGTATGAACATAGAAAATGGTTTCACTGCGCATAAATACAAAAGTTATTACTTGATAATCTAGGGAAAGACAAATTTACACATAAACACTTTTAACATGTTTAAACATACATATACTAATAAAATAAACGTCAAAAGTAAGTGATATAGGCTGGTATCCAATAAAATTGTTACCACATCAGATGGTACAAAATGTGTAAGGATAATACAATAGTTTACGTTCTTACGGAGATTGAATATATACTAGGAAATAATTAGTTCGGCCATGGTACTCCAGCAAAGCAAGATGTGACAGGATCTGGAAGTTTGGCTGTGGCCAGGAATGGAGCAAACCTTTCAACACATTCAACTAACGTAGATCGATTCACTTGTTCTCTAAACATAAGTTCTTCTAAATGAGCTGGAAGATGAGGTAAAATTCGTGCGAACAATCGAAGAAGTGAGATATTTTGTAATACTCCAGGATGACTTAAAATAGATAAAAGTAATGTTTGTTGAGATTCAACGGGTAAATTATTAGTTAATTCACATAAGACATCTTTTGGTATTTTATTGCATAACTCTTCAAGATCAAAAGTGGTAGAATCAACTTCTGAATCATTATGGCTTTTAATTTCTGAAGTGAGTTCATCACTGTCATATTCACTACTGTTACTGCTACTGTGTAACACACTGTTATTGGACACGTGTACACTCTCCAAATTATTTGAAATATTCTTAATATCATTGAACATATTCATTTCCTTTACATTTTTATTAGGTAAAAATGTTGGGAATATATAGAGATGAATCTATGAAAACAGAAAAAAATTTAGTAAGTAGTAAGTTTAAGAGGAGAAAACGTAATGATGTTTAAGTTGCAGATAAATTTGAAAATCTGGTGGTTGACGAATATGAGCTAAGGTATTCATATATTCATGAATTGAGTTGACATAATTATTTGTCTGTTTAACGTAATCGCAACACGGTAAAGAGTCAAGAATTTGTTTATGCATTACTTTATCAAGTAAAAAGTTATGGACATCATTTGACATCTTTCAGGTATGCTTAAACTTTATCAAACTTTCATGCCTAATCCTTCAACTGTAGTTAATACAAAGGAATGGAACAAACAAACAACCAAACCAATTCGAAAATATAACGACAAAGATAAAATGATCAAAAAGAGATCGTGATTAATGAGAGCTGTGGATAAGAATGTAGGGAAAAATGTGAGAAAAAGGAGTGAAAGTTGAAAATAATTGGTTTTAAAAAATTAAATTAGACAAATAACGAAAATAATTGTTCACTGATTGATAAAAAGTTAAGGAACTAATATTTTGGCACTTTCTCATTTATTGATGGTCATAGACAGTGTGGCAGACGATTCTTCTAGATGAACAAACTGTTCAACTAGTGAATGTTTAATTATTTGGTTAGTCAAAAATAGGAGAACAGTATAAAATACTTTGAGGTCATTCAATTAGTTATATGTAACACAAATGACACATATGAGTTGATTTAAATTCAACATCAGAAATCATAGCGATCTGTATTCGGCTATCAGTAATCAGAATCTCAACTAATTTTAACCGAAGACTCACTACCTCACTAACCGATTTGAACGATATGAGCTACCAGAATGTGAAAATCATCCACACCTGTAACAGCGCCTGAGATCACCTTATTTATGATCTGATCTTTTGAGATTTTTTAATATCTTGGAAACAATGTCATCCCTGAATAAATCAGAGTGCCCTTTCGTTCTTGTACACGCGACGCTTCAGGAACTTGCTAATGGATTCTTGTAGACTGTATACAATAAAAATGTCACTTAATATTATGAGAAAAAGGTTAGGAAATCAGAATTTACACCTAACATCGGAGTGAATGTGTTAAGAGTGAAACATTAATAATAGGTGGCTAAACAGAAGGTCACTTGGTCATCATCAGATATGTCCTTAAGCACATTAGCCAAGAAATGCGTTCATTTTCTAAGAAGGATGGATATATGTGCATATATGGGTGTGAATGAATATTATTCGGTAACGGAATAGACTTCCTATTCCACTCCTGCCTTCTCACTCAGGATGCCGGTTTGGAGAGTTATCACCTATACCGTTGTCAGGATATCAGCTGACAACTGGATTACATATTAATGCGCCAGGTTTCTGTAACCGAATAGAACGTGCGAAAAACACCAAAGTGTGCGGACCCTTAGGTATCAGGAAGGCATTATAAAAGTCACCTGAAGTGAATTTGAAGGAAATCACTTCAGCAGTGGAACATTTGTAAGTGAAGTGTATAATTCCAAGTCACACATAATAATGTATCAGCTTATTTATTTGTAACATATAATCGCCCAAGTTATCAAAAATGCGTCACCATGAAATGATTGATTATCTAGAGATGCGCTGTACCATAAAATTTAATTAACACTCTAGTATTTACTTGTATTATGAGCCGACGTCGAAGTAGCCAAGCAATCAAATTTATTTTCTCCGTTAAAGGTAAATTTGTCCATGAGGTCTTTGAAGAGTGATTGTGAACAACATCGGAATCATCATAATGAAGGTTACCAGCGATAGAATTCGATGAATCAAAATGATCTTTTAGTATGAAACTTGTTGAAAACGATGTTAAAAGCTACAAGTGAATAAAATTAATCAATAGGCAATGTTCGATGAATTATTAATACAATGAATTTCTGGACACAAATGTTACATTATCAGCGTCTAAAGTACATAAATGCCAGGAATTATGCAAGAGTATCCAAAGGAAATAAACACCGATCAGGGAGTATTAAAATACTGAAATAATTGAACAATCTTTTTCTCTATTCTGAAAATGTTCATCATTGTTACATGGAGTGGAGTCTAGGACTTCCACACGTCATATTAAACGTTTTAGCTATTTCATTAATGGATTTGATACAGTCGGTAAATATTTTCTGGCCCAACTACTGTGATTTAGTGTTGAGTGTTTTATTGTTGTATCAACTGCTAGCAGTTCAGTGAAGCATATATCATACATTAACAGTTATGATCTCTTATCTGAAATCTGAACAAACAATCAATTGACTGAAGTCAATTAAAAACCAATAAAATCAAAAGGTTTACTAATCTTATACAGTGCACGGACAAGTAATGTTGCTGTTTTGAAAAAATTACAGTACGTGAAAGCATTATGAAATAAAGTGAGAAAATTTGAAAAAAAAAAAAAACAACAGCATCATTATTAATATTATTATGATCAATAATTACCTCAGCGAAATTCACATCAGGAAACGAGGTAGCAAATTGACCAATTAATTGTGGTGTAAACCATGCTTTAGAATGAGGTGCAAGAACATAGATATTGTTAGCAACAATCGGATAAACAATCAATGCATGACCACGATAAATTAGCCATAAGGCTAAATTTAAACAATACGATTGTGAATGAAATTTCTGTGCTAAATTATATAAACTAATTGTTGGTGATAAAGCATTGATAAAGCTACATTTTGATCAAGAAGAAAAAAAAATAAAAACAGACAAATGAAAATATAACGACAACAAAGTAAGCACAAACAATTAACAGAACACTAATTGATTATATCATACAGATAATTATTGTTATGAACAATACATATAAGCGAACAATGTTGTTTTTGATTAGATCGGCTTTACTCTAATATTAGAGTAAAGCCTAATGACGATCTAATCGAAAAAAATATTTTTCGCTTATATGTATTGTTCTAATTTTCACAATGGGAATATTTAATATTGTTGTTATAGAATAAATGATAGTAAGTTCAACTAATCAATACGAATATTATGTAATTCAATATAGTCATGTGATTAGAATCATACGTTTGACTGATTGAATCATTAAGAGAAACTTGCCCATAGGAACCAAATTTATTGAGTGTAGTCACAAACTAACTGACATACAGCTTACGATGTTAATTGTTTTATGTTCTGTATATATGCATACATGAGTCAATATGATAATTCAACTAGGGTTATTAGGATTAGGATTAACTGTCTAAAAAAGCAATGAAATCCATTGATTATATACAGGTTCGTGTACTCAGCTTTGAATCACAATTTATAAATGACGGAAAATGATGCTTAACACTTCGAACCGAATTATTTTTGGCTTCGATAATTAAATTAATTTAGGTAAGGCTCTAAATTGTAACCTATTGGCTGAAAGTTGAACACCTCAACCACTCCGCCACCGGTTTACTTGAGAATCGAGATGGACCATAAAGTATCTAAATTATGCTGTTAATTATAAAAGAATATAAATTATTTATTCAAATAGTAAACATAATAATGACATAGACTTTATTGATGATCGAATAATACTGGTCAAAGAATCGATTATGAACATTAACACTAACGGCACATCAATGAGAAGCCCTTGAATGTTAGGATGATATCAGGTAGAAATTGTTTACAAGTATAGTTTTTATTGAACATTAACATATTTCGATTGAATATGTCACTAAAATTTATATAGTACAATTAAAAACTATATTATTAACAATTATGACGACAAAAATAAAAAAGCTTAAGACCAGCTACGGACATGGTCCACCTTTAGATGAAATGATTGTGAGAGCGTAAGAAAATGTAGTTATTTATGGAAGTGAAATTTTTCATGCTACATTATCTACCATCTAAAGCTAAGAAATAAAGGAATCAAAAGAGAATCAATTACAGAACAAATCCTTGATTTTTAACCACAGTTTCAGTGACCCCAATAGTAATGCTAAGACCATGAATTTGTACGAAGCAACACATTCTGAGACCTTAAAACTGATGTCTGAGATCGTTTAACATATTTTATCGGGCAGACAGAGCATAATTACTCTAGACATATTAACGTACGATTCTGATATGGAGAAAATTTGTAGCTCAGTAGGATGATTGGTTACTATTGTCTTTTAAAGACAAGTTAAATGTCAATAACAACCAATCAAGATCGACGTGAACAGAACAAGCTATGAGTCATGCGTGAAGGAATTCGAAGAATTCACTTCTACCTGAAGTTTGTTCTGATGGTGTTATTCAGAAGAACTATGAAAGATCCAAGACCAAACCTTCCAGCTCAGAAGACGAAACTCTGTCATAAAGTAAGATTAAAACTTTGATTTTTGAAGTAAAATCATTGTTTAAACCTCCAAAAAATCGAACAATCAAATAATTTTAATGAGCATCTAATAATTAACCAGTCTTATGCAACACAGGACCCAAAACATATGTACTGATCCAAGTTTCCATACCCCAATAGTACAACTAGATAAAATTATTTCAAGACTAATTTCAAAGTAGTAGGAGTAGTAACAGTGTCAGTAGTATCATAAAATACTAGGTATAATAAAAGTAAAAAATGTAAAAGGAGACCTCGGGACACAGATTCCAACGAAAAATAAGAAGTGACCGCACCAGCACCATTCCGAACGATATTCAACCATGTTGTGTGTACACCACTGGCAACGTCGCTTGTAGGCAGTATGAAGTGGAGTGTCACCCAGAAACTGTTGCTGAAGTGATGAGTGTCGGGTACGGATATATGACGCGGTCAGTGTTTTGAAAACAACCAATAGTCTGCTTCGTTTGCAAACGAAGTCCGGCGTGTACACATTTTGCTAATAAATTGTCTTCTTCAAATATATCATTCAATCCATTTGGTCTTAATGTCATCGTTTATTACAATGTCACCTAAAGTCTCTAACCATTGGTTACAATAATTGAGCGAACTCCGACCATGTAGTCTACATTTATTATTACTGAAATCATAGGAATGGACTGGATTACAAAAATATTGTAATTTTAGGAAAAAGGTTTTTACGAACGGTTCATTTAACCGACTTCTTTTTCCCTGTGTACATTTATACGCGTATACTTTCAAAGTTTTCTATGAACTTTCTAGAACTTCACCTGATATTTTTAAATAGCTTACGTTGTAGCGTCAAAGTGATGAGTGTTTAAATTTATTCAACGAAATCTCAATTTCTAACGCACATAGGATATTGACACTGGTCGTTGGGGAAAATTTAAGAAATGTTAAATAGTAGAAACAATATAGTAACAATCAAACAGAAAGACTAGACAGGTATTAGTGTTTTCTAGAGAAATAATACGTTTGAATGCAGTTTTCAACGTAAACAGAAATCATCTAGGATGAGGCCTACTATTATGAATTACTCACTGAAACAAAATATCCAAAGAATCACAACATTGAACTTTTGAGTCAAAACTTAAGATTTTACGGTATTTTACTGTCTTATCTTACGTTGAAAACAACAAAAAAGAAGCTTCAAATTAAATAACGTTCAATATTTGATAATACTACTGATGACAAAAATAAAGTTCACTGAAGTCAGTGGGTAGGAAAGCAGATTCTAGTTAAAAAGTACACTTTTAACTGACTACAATGTGATCTAACTTGGTTGTTCAGCATTCAAGCAACAACAGAATCCAGTTGAGTTAGTGTTCATACACACTGACTACAAAACAACTAATAAATTGACAATACAATTTGAAACCCGATCAACAACATTTTGAATTTCTACTGCAAAAAATGTATAGATAGTTTCATACATTATTCACATTACATAACATACTCCTCAAAATATGCTCCATTTCATCCGCGAAGAAGAATACTTTAATTAAATTCGAAAACTGGAAAAGTTTAGAAAGGACGACCTTCATAACTTAAAAAAAAAACATGAATTCAATTCAATGGTAAAAGTATAATAAATGGGTGTTCAAAGCTCTTTCTGAAAAATTACTTTGATTTCAAAGCGATTTATTGATCACAGGCGTATATAGAACAGACGAAGACAAAACCTGAAAGACTATATAAATTTAATAATATTTCAACATAGCTTCCATGGCATGTTGTTTAGTTTCATTGGAAATGTTTTAATAATATACACCCATCATTAGCCTCGTTTATGACTAAATATGAGGTAGGATGTGAGCATTTAAGTAATTAAAAATAATTTTAACTACTTGAATATTATGAAAAGGAAAAACATTCGGAGAAGATTATGATGTTAAAATGCAACAGAAGTTTGGCCAAGGACGTTTATTCTACACTTGTCGAATGAGTATTATTTAAAGTCAGATATGAGGCTCTACATAAGCCAAGTAAGTAAGTTAGTGGTATGCTAAGCTTACATTAATTCGAATAGTTGAGAATATCATAATGCAAGCTGAATCAAAGTATGTTCTGACAAACTATTTTATATCTACTACTATGGAATAAACTTCAGAAATGCTTAGATTATAGTATAGAATTTATCTGTGGTTAATTTTAAATCCATTTATGTCCAATATATAATCATTTCACTATAGAAATGTTTGCATTTTTTAAATATTAATTTTTCAGATAATAATAATAATAATACTTAAAAGTTAATTTCTATAATTTTTCGAACCTCTTCTAAATAAAGGAGTGAATTCTGCGTTTTCATTGTAACAATATAACAAAAGAAATTTCATACAAACACACTGACTGTTGTGACTTCATTTAGCAATTATTGACAATTAAAAAAGCTAAAATAGATGATGGTCATGGGAAAATAAAAATAATAATAATAATAATTGACACTATGCATTACATAAACTTCATATTGTTTCATTCTGAACTATCCAATGCATGCATGAATGATAAAAACAAAAGGTATTGGGATTGAACAATGAACGCATCACTTAATTTAATGTATATATATATATATTGTTCAATTCCACACTGAAAACATTTTTGGGAACATCTCATTTGAAATGTAATAAAATTTGCGTGTTCATCATGTTGGCTAGTTGTGCAGTGATAAAAAAAAAGAGATGAAAGTGAAACACATACATGGCAGATTTCCAACCTTTTGTCATGCTTATATACATACATATACAATTCAGGCAAAAAAGAACTACTATAGGTGATGAATATGTAATGAAGTTTGAAAAATTACAGTTCGATAGACACAAAAAAAGGGAGAGAAACAAACAAACAAATACGAGTATATATATAAATAAGCCATATTAGAATTAATTTTTCTAGTACTGACATAAACTATAGAATATTACATTAACATTGAAGAAGGATGTTGTACAGTGGCAATAACAATTTAACTGTTAGTTTTGATGGAACACGGCACAATGCTTGTTTAGAATATGAATGGCCCAATTTATTCGTTGCAATCTTTGGATTTTTTACAATTATATTTGGTAGTACAGGAAGTATACTGACATATATTTATTTATTCATGTTTCGTAGAAGTTCTAAATCAGTGAGTATTACTACTACAGCAATAAGTAGAACTGAAAGAACAAGTAATAATAATAATAATAATAATAGTTGTTCAAGTGCTGGAGGTAGTGATATTCAACCAAAACAAAGTAATCTACGTGAATCAACTCAATTATTAATGGCTTGTTTAGCATTAGTAGATTTTCTTGGTCAAAATATCAGTTGTCTACGTTATACAATTCTTGCTTTAAAACAATATGATATAAGATTATTTTATACAGATATATTTTGTCGACTACAATTATTTGCTGAATATTGTTGTCAAGATAGTTCAGCATGGTTTATGTGTACAATGACTGGTGAAAGATTTTGGCTATTGGCCAAACCAACATCTTCATATAGTATGAATAAGAAACAAATTAAACCAGCAGCAATAGCATTAACAATATGTACTTTAATTATCATTGGTAAAAATGCAGTTTTACTTGCAGGCAGTCAAGATGTTTGCAGTGAAGGTTATACAGACAAAACATTTTTCCTTGTTGATTTAATCTTCAAATGTCTAATTCCATTTATTGTACTGATGACTACAAGTATTGGTAATTTAGTATTAATGCATCGTCAATTGGTAAAAATGCATGCTGATCATATGACTATCAATAAAGGATTATCTATTGTCACAATGAGTCGTAAAGAAAGAAATAAACTACCACCAACTACAGCAGCTATGTGGGAAGTAATATTTGCATGTCGTATGATGATTGTATCAAGTATTGTATACATTATTGGTGCATTGCCAATTAATTTATTCAAATTATCCATGTCCAATTTTAAAAATGTACTTACAGCACGTGATATTTGTTCAGTCACTGATATCATTTACAATGCTATTAATATAATGTTTTGGACATGTGTTGGATTACGATTCTACTTGTATATATTTAGTTCACCAAGAGTAAGACGTGATATGTTTTTAATATGTCGAATGATTTTAGTGAAATTACATTGTTTATCACCAATAAGAAGAAAATCGAAAACAAGTAAAACATCACAAAGTAAATCAGGAGCAACTGAAATTAGTAAAAGTCAAACAACTGGAAGAACATAATCGGACAATGAATTTATTATTGGAATTCACATTCAACTATATTTAATAATAATTGAATTGAATTTTAGTAATTAGTTTTATAAACAAATAACTAATTATACTAGTTGATAATAGTACAATTTTACCACAATTAGTTCATATTATCTTTCCCTACAAAGTAAGCAACTATATTTAGATAACTTAAAATTAGCAGAAACAATTCACATTGCATCAAAATTACATTTATTTTTAATTGCAAAAAAGAAAAGCATTCTAGGTTGATATTCCTTCTGAAACCACAGAAAAATGTAACAAATCACACTATAATCGTTTCACGTTGTACACAAAATATCAATGAATATTTTATTCAACTAACAAATGACTTCTTTTTTATTTATTTATCGCTGGGAAATTAATTAAACTACCGAAATAATAAGGTAAATGATTTAAGTTATATTTCTTTTTTTTTCTATAAGGTTTGTAGTAATTGCTAGTTAGGCAATATACATGTAATAGAACTAGTATATTTATGGATCAATTTACATTTTGGTTATAAAAAAGTAATGGAGTATTAGGACAATAAAGAAAATATCTTTGATTCCCGTAACTCTGATATTGTTGAAATAACTGGTAAAAGTTTAACACAGTCTTTGAGTACTCACTCATACTTATCATGTAGTACGATTTTATGAAATTATGACCAGTATATAAAGAAATTAGTCTGTCATAAGATTATATTTATTTGAGAAATCATAATTTATATTAACTCAAAAAGGAACTAACACGAAGGATTTCAAATGTGTGAACGTAGAAATATAACAGCGGTAGAGATAATAGAAAAAAATTATGATGGAGTTTTGTTCTCTGAGATGGATGTTTTGCTTGTGGAGCTTTGATTGTCCTTCTGAACAACATCATTACCACAAACTTCAAACAGAAGAGAATTATTCGGATTACTCCACGTATGACTCTTAGCTTGTATTGTTGACTTCAATCTCGATTGGTTGTGATTGGCTTTTAGTGTTCAGTTTCACTTCTTTTGTCATTTTGTACTTTGGTTTGCATAGGATTGATAGAAGTGATTTTGTTGGTTTATAAGCTACAGTTATTCCAAATTTCCCTTAAAAATACATACACAGTTTGTTGGGAGAAGTTAAGTAGCACAAACTTACTTAGGCCTGTTCCCCCCCCCCCCAAATGGAGCATAGGCCGCCGACATACTCTGTCCTGAGCTTTCTTTCTAGTTCTGTTCAGTTCTTATGCATTTTTCTCACGTCTGTCTTCGTTTCTCGGCGTAATGTGTTCCTTGGCCTTCCTCTTTTCCTTTGACCTTGGGGATTGTTCCAAATGGGGGCTTGTCTTGTGACGCAGTTGGGTGCTTTCTGCAATGTGTTCTATCCACTTCCAGCGCTCTTTCCTGATTTCCTCCTCCGCTGGAATCCGATTTGTTCTCTCTCACAGTAGGCTGTTGCTGATGGTGTCTGGGCAATAAATCCGAAGTATTTTGCGTAGACAACAGTTAATAAACACTTGTATCTTCTAGATAATGGCTTTAGTAGTTTTACAAGTTTCTACCCCATAGAGTAGAACTGTCTTGACATTTGTATTTTGGGGCACAGTTTTGGAGGTTTGCGATTTTTTACACATTTGAAATCATCAATCAATCATTGTTAGACCAGGTTTCTAATGGTTATTCATAAGAGTTATTCATAAAAAATAAAGTATACGTCTTCATTACCAAAAAATAAATGGTTGTTTGAAAACGTCATTTTAGTGTATAGAAATATAAAATTTTCAAGTATTATATTGAGTGTTACTCATAATTTTCCGCTTATATATTCGGGAGTTGTATGCATGCATTCGATCGAGTGGCTGATCAGTATTGCATCCACCATAACAAGTGAAGATTTTGAGCTTAATTTAGCATAGAGTAGTGAGCGCACGTAGTTTGAGAATCTCCAATGAAAACAAAAGTGAACTAGGAATTGAGAGTTTCGAAAAGCTCTTCAATTGATGTCAGTTGATGATGAAAATTGTATCCAAATTGTACACAACTCTCCATCGAACCACCTTAATCTATGGTCAAAGTTACATCAGACATATAAGTATGATATATATAACAATGTTTATCGGTCAATATATTAAACTATGAATTACAAAAATAGCATACTCCTTCAATGTTGGATTAATGTCAGTCGGAAGATAATCACTGAGTAAATCTTTTTTACGCAGTAGTAATATTAAAGCATGATATGGTCGTATTTTATCCATTGCATTCCAAATGGCCATCGGTCGAACAGCTACTATGCATTTAGAAATTCCATCATTATTATTTAAACAATAAGCTTTATGCGGTAGACAAAAACAGACTGGATAAATTTTGTTAATCTATTATATTGAATCGAAAGAAAAAAATAGAAAAAAACAAAGGTATCATATAAAAATCATAGTTTACTAAGATTAAGATTTTGTTGAACCATTTACTATTAAAAAAAAATATAGATCGTGATAGTTTCTCAAAACACACTAAGATTACACATTTAATGTAATTTCCAAAAACTAACATTTAGAGATATTCATTTGAAATCCAACTGAAATCAAAGATTTCTCAATGAACCCAGATATATCTAGGTATGTTGGTTGGAACAATGAATAAGGAAATGAAATTTGAATGTGTCGTAATAAAAAAATTAATACTATGTTCTACTTACACAGCTGATAATAAATCCGCCAATTACGTCACTGTATTCCCATTAACATAACTACATGACTGATAGATCAGGTAAATTCCTGTTCTGAAAAATCTCTGAATAAAGACACCCAAAGCCCTGATGAATAATCACAAGTAAATTTATCATTCATATTCATAACTCCCATTGTCATATCGATAAAATACTAACTTATGCCTATTAGCCCCATGGGGTCACAGGTTGCCAACAGCTTTTTAGCAAAGTTGTAATCTTTAGGATGAAGTTGCTAACCTCATGGCCTAAATCTTCTCATTGATTTGGGCTTGAGACTGACAGTAACCCTAGAAAGTGCACCAGGCGATAACATTGAAGATTATAATTTATAAACTTCATTAGTACATAACCCGTGTAGCTTCAATACAAAGTGGCGTGACTCATTTGTAGTTGATTTACATTGGTCCATAAATACCAAACAAAATACAACTAGGACTGTATTAATAAACCATAAATAAACTGATTAGTAAATATTTACTAAAAATATAGAAACTAGTTTCCCAAAAATTACCTTGAGATTTCATGTTTTTTTTATTTCCTCACCACTTTTTAATAATAAATACTTTAGCTATTAAAAATTTCAAATTATCATTTATATTTTTCTGAATATTTCGGCCAAAATAGTGTAGAATAAGATTTCGGGGAACAAAAACTCAAAATACCTTCAAATTTTTTTTCCTCAACAAGAAAGAAAAACTTCGCTAAAATTTCTACAATCAGAATGATATAACAGGATTCTTTGTCAAGTGCAATAACTATTTTGTTGTTTGTGTGAACAACAATTACATCATTGATTTATCATGATTAGGACACTACACGATTAATGTCTAGAAGTATAGTAAATATATCTATTCATAACCAATCAGTCAATCAACCAACAGCAACGTAGAACTTCGTACGTATGTACATCAGTTCAAGTTACCATATCACACTAGCACAGAGATGTAATTGTCAATTCAAATCCCATACTACTAGAGATAGTAAAAGTATTAGTAGTAGTCAGAGAGATTAGGTTTCGAAGTATAATTTAGTGAGGTAAATTTAGAAAGAGAAAGATATAGGTGATGAGGAATTCAGAAGGTTAGGACTTGAGAGAACACAAAGAATGTATGCATCTGCGCCATTGCAAACGGTTTTTAGCCATGTCATAAACGTTGATGAAAAAGCCTTATATCTCATCATCTTTAAACATCTAGCTATGTATCATATAGTTCCAATTCTGCATGCATCTCTTTGAACAGAGAATCAAGATAAGTTTATCATAAAAAAAAAAATGAAAATTCACTTACTTTAACGTTTACATGACCTGTTTTACAAATTGAATCAAGTATACTTTTTAATTCAGCGCATAAAGACGAAATTTGAACTAATTTCTCAAGTGGGTTCATCACAGTTACATCATTTATCTTATCATGAAAATCATCAGAATTATTATAAGTGTTATTTGTAAATATATTTTCGCTGAATGATTGATTTGTATTGAATGCATTTGGTGACTTAGATTCATTGCATTCTTGATCTATGACTGAATTAACTAAATTATTATCACGATCAGAATTACCACCTTCTGTTATTTTAACATAACGTTTATTTGGAAATGATTGAGATGATTTGGAAAAGTTGAAATTATCTGATCCATATTTATTTGTGTTGTAGTCTGTTGTAGAATTACCACACCATGATGAATTAGTATCAGCATAAGAATATTTCTCCAGAGTAGAAACAATAATATCTCTTTGATCTCTAAGATAATTAAACACTAATTCTGCACGTCTTACTTGAGAACCGATCTGAAAAAAAAACAGTTAAGAGACAAATAGGTAAAGAAGTATTGTTAGAAAAAGTAACATGGATTTTAAGAATCCTCTTCCATATAAAAACCTTAAAAACAATTAATGGTTGAATCTGTTGCCAATTCACATTGTTGTTATTGTTTTGAAAAATATACTTACTAAACTGCCAAAAATAAATTTTTGGACAATGTATTTACATTAAAAACGTGAAATCTAAATTTTAGGGAAACATCAATTTAAGTAACATAATGAGAAGACAAAGATTATCAGATCTATGTGGAAACATCAATTTTGTAATCAGATTGGGACTTTACACCATTAGATTATTAAAACGTTGCTTCAAAAAAATTAGCAGAAAATCTTACTGACTATATGGAATTCATTTACATCTTGACTCCCGTATGATTATTTTTGTAATAACAGAGACATGTATGTTTTGTCAGCAACATATAATTATCGATTTTGCTGTTTTAATTTCAGTTTTTCATTTAATAAGACTAGGATTGAATGGGAATAAATTTTGTGAGAGACTAATAGTCTTATATGCATTCTTAAAGAGTTTTTCATTAGAACGATATGGTTCTTCAGTGATTCCCGACAATTCTTTAGTTAGTTTAATTTGTATAGAGAGTTATTTTCAAATTGAAGAAATATTGAATTGAATATATTATTTATTGATCAAACGTACGGTTAGTTTTGAATGGTTATCTTACATTTGTATAAGGTTAACTACTTAAGAATGAAATAAGAGGCGGAGTATTTGTGTAAAACTCTGAATTGACAGTATAACGTACTATTTAGTGAAACAAACCGAGACACATAAAATGATCATGCGATTTCATGGTCAATATAAGAAATGCATATATTTATTTAAATCAGGTCATACTGAAAAACATCTTGAAACGAAGTAAAACTAGAAAAAGCGTCTATTTAGATCAATAACCACGTAATCAATAGTGACTAGTTTAGGAAGAACTGCACAAAATTTTAATAAGAACACTAATAATATCAAGAATGAGACAAATATTAATAATCTCACTGGATAACTTTCGATTTACATCATAAATCATATGATATTAGCAACGAAGATCATCATATTGTAATGCAGTGGCCCAAAGATATCAAATCAACGTCAAGTGAGTTCGTGAATATATATGGTTGGGGAGTTAAAGACAAAAGCAAATAGGTATCCAGTACTTTTTGGTTTTCAGTCACTTGATGTCAATCTGTGATTAAAACCAATATGAAGTTCAATGAATTACCATTGTTCACCGTTGAATATATATATATATATATAATAAAAACAAGTACAAAATCTTTCATGAATAAAATAGTCAGACAGTAAATACAAACAACAACAGTAACTTACCAATCTAGATAATTCAGTAAGATAAGATAATACAGATGGTGGTGCAGATGACTCCATTAAAAAACCAACAGTAAAACTGATCATAGTTGTTCGTGATAATTCATTTTCACAATTTTTAGCATTACAATCTTCAATATCTTCACTAAGACCAATAGTTTCCATATCAGACGGGGATAAATTAAATGCAGCTCCAATAAATATACTATGGTCTAACTTTGAAAATTGTACAAACCCAAGAAATAATCAAAAATAAATGGAGGAAATTGTTGAGAAATAAATTTTTTACATCATGAGAAAACAGCAGTAATCAGAATAAACTTATTTCTTACATCCTGATTTATTTAGAGGATTGTTTATACAATTTATCTCCATATTCAGATAATTTTATACGAATGTAATGAAAATATTTCACAACTTATTTTACACGTATTTTGCATGTATATATTCATATTGTCTATCACTATTTATCTGATTTAATGAGAATTTTCAGCAAGAATTTGAAACAGTTGAGAAATTACTGAAAGTAACACCGAACAGATATTTTGTCTTAGTTCGGGACTCTTCAGAAGTGTGAATCCAGCTTTACTTCATCAAAAATTCCTTTTTGAAATAATTGTGTATATAATGTGGTTGAGTGTATGTGTATTTTTGATTAGCTTCCTTTCTTTTATGAACTAATCTGAAAAAACAAATAGTACCTGTATGGTAAAATATCATGTCCTATAAATTTTTAGAAAAACCATATTCCCATAATATACTACAGTAATCAAAACTTGTTAAAGTTACCTTGATGTAGATTTTACGTTGAAGTGCTTGAGTTTGTTGATGTAGAAGACTAAGTAATACATTTGCTGGAATACCTTCTATATTTGAAATTCCTAAATTTCCAATTAACGGTGATTCAGTAGAAGGAACCTGTAACGATGAATCAGTAGAATAGAGGCCTCCAAGAACTGTATTAGGATTGGATAAATTTGCAGTAACACTTCCAACTGGATTACTCGAAGACAATGAACTCGTGGTACATAAACTAGAGTTAATATTTGAACAAATAGTTGGACAATTATTTAACGTACGATCTGCTGAGCTCATAAAATTCTGATTCAATCCACCAGCGATAGGACTATTCCCAAAACCACTTTCATTGAAAAACATAGTGCGTTCAGAGATTAACTAGGAAAATAATAAATACAAGTATGTCTACCAATTTATTATTAACAAAAAAGGTACTTCTTTATTAAAATGTCGTGTTAGTATATTAGCATATAGTCAGAACTGAGCTCTAGCAAAGGTTAAACATGTGTGTAAATGAAAATAAATAGATTCACGGAATCGAGATAAAAAGACAGATAGCCTGAGCAGTATTTAGGTCAGTGCAAGACTACTTTGAATTGGGTTTAAGACAAATTAGTAGTGGTAGGAGAAATTTAGCACACTAAACGAAAGATAAGTCGACTTTACTGCTGATTAGACATGCTATTACGTCACTAAATTTGAGAACATCTAAGTCTGATTCCGATATGAGCTAAGGAACGATTTACCACTTAACAAATCGACAGATGTGGTGGTGAAATGCCATCAGTTGAAATATTTTTGACGTGAGGCAATGTCTGGTCTAAAAGTAAGTTAGAAGAAAGCTAGAGGAGGAAAGGCCAAGACGTGGCATCAGTCCATGGTGCTAGTAACTGTTGGACTAAACCATGTCAGTAGATGCAGACTACCTAGTTAGGGGTTACGTGGCTAATGGCTAGACTTTCGGTGACGTGGCTTAAAACCTTTTGCAGTGGCTCAGGTACATTCCGACTTTTCCTTTAGGTACCAAGTTTTCGCATAACCTCGTAAAATTTCTCAAAACCAATCCATATTTATTTTTCAAACGAAATTTTCTATCTGTAACCTTTTCTGCTACGACAAATAATGTTACTATTCATACTGCTCTGGGATTTAGCTTGGTGATTTCAGCTTGCCATGATAACAGGGTATGGCAACTTGAACCGATGCATATACGTGTTAGAAGGTTCTAAGTTACATAGGACAGACCGACTCACCTTTGAATTGAGATTCTCAACTCATAACTAATTCAACTAGGCTGAATAGAATATCGGTATGGGAAACATTTTAGCCAACTAGGATAATAAACTGTATTTACAGATATAGGAAATAAGTGATATGAAATGAATGTGGTAGTTGAACTTATAATCAGTAACTAATTCCACCTTTCTCCCTATCATATATATATATATATCAAAATCACTACTGATCGGCGGTCTATGCTCGATTGGGGGTAACAGGCGTAAGTAAGAAGTTATATCAAAATCCCGCATTTATTACAAATAAAGTTATGTATAGCACCATCGAACTAAGTTGAATATGAATGCCGATAATATGAAATCTTGAATTTAGAATTTGAAAAATGTGCACCAGTATAGATAGCTTCGAAACGTTATACTGAGTATTGTTAGCATGTTTGGAGTTTGAGTACCCATGATTATTTTTTTGGTAAATTTATCAATTTTTATTGTGTTATGCAAAATTTCTCAAGGACGTCTGCAAGGGTTTATTGAAGCCTCTGTCATATGAAAATTTAAACCCCTTCATCTATTTTAAATAATTCTACCTTATATATACTACGTGATGAGGTCGCTAACTCCATGCCCAACCCTCCTCCTCTGTCCGGGCTTGGGACTGGCAGGATATATATATATCGCTCTAATCAATAAAAATAACTTCATTTTAGTAAAAAAATAATCCATGAAGTTTATTTTTTAACATATAGCATGAGAAATGGAAAGAAGGAGACAGTACTTACACTGAGTGCGAATGGATTTTCACTATTTTTATGGCCTCGAGCTTGGCTAGTATTTTTCAATTTGGGAGTAGGAGTAATCGGTTCTGCAGTTGAGTTCCCAACAGATTTAGAACCCCTGAAAAGACACCCATCGTAGGAAAGCAATTTTACAATAACAAAAAACAGAACATTTACAAATATAGAGAATTAGTGAAACAATAGTTTTAACGTGACCATAAACAGACATGAATGGATTGTCATCGGTTGTACAAATAAAACAATAAAAAAATAATTATTCAAAACAGAAAATATGAATGGCAGTTGGAAAGAACAAATTTGAAAATAATATTATGCGCGAGAGTTCTGATTCCATTAACTGTAGTCCAAGGGTACATAAAAAATTTTTTCAGATGAATCACGAACTACTCAAATTAAGAATGCGCCTTTACATATTAAGCAGTCTATTTTCTTGCTTCAATTCATTTTCTCAAATAATTATTATGTTTACACCAATAAATGAACAAACTGGTTCATATTACTTTTCATAAAGTTAAATTTATCGTCGAAAATCGGCTTAAGTTTCAGAAAAATATGCAATTATTTAACGTATCAAGCAAAATGTTATTGACGTAAGGGTGGAAGATAGGAATTAAAAATATTCATGATGCAATGGAATGGTAGATTTATAATTTTGAAAACAACTTTGGAATACAATTACTGAGCAGTAATAATAATAATAATAAACTTGTATAAAATGAAAGTTCGGTGTTTTGTACACTAAACTTTCTGCCAATGAACGCTACTTTTGAAATCTACCCGTAAATCAAGGTCTCCAGTGTCTTAAAATAACATCTGCCTACGTATTAGGTAGGGACAAAAAATTCAAAGACTCATAGGTAGTCATTTGTAACACCCAGAGTATTTTTATGGAAACACTTTCTGAGTATTTACACCGAAGTGAAAAATAATGCTCGGTTCCAGAACAACCGTTATGGAAACCCAGACGCAGCTGCTACCGTGGTAGGGTGGTCGGAGTTTGCCTATCATAATCATTCAGTCGAGCTATGTTGGCTAGAACACAAGTTCCTTTAGATTTTAATGTGCCGGGAATATCTATTTTAGAGCGGTAGGATTAAAGGCAGCAACTTAAGATCCGAGGGCGGAGTTGAAATGCTGATTGTAGAGGGGTGTGACATCAGTAAGTTATTTCCTTCAGAAAACCAACATTTTCGGTGGCGTTATCTCCTCACAGCGGAAGGGTTAGAAAAGATTGGCTACAAAAATATCAAACCTTACGTTACCCGACAGATTTACGTCTCTGATAGCAGGGCTTTTTAAGAGTGGAACTAATTGATCAAAACGTTCCTGTGAAAAGGCCGTTTGTGGCCAGCCTTAAGCGACTGTTTGTGGGTTCTATGATCACGATCCTAGGTCATTACGACCACCACTAACTCCTTTCCAGGTCTTTTGGGAAGAATTATCCTTCCGTGGCGTCGGCAGCCAGAAAGCGACAACCACCCTCACACCCCTAACAGCACTTCAGACCATGTTATTCACGATCGAATTCATCTCTCATCTCTTAATAATTCTCCTGTTCCCAGCAATCCTTCATATACCTCTATTTCATCAAGCGTAACTAACAATATTGATACAAGTTTATGAAATGTTGTATCTACTCTATTGAAAACGTACTGTAAACTACATTTTGGAGCTTTCAATGTTTGGACCTTGTGCTAAATAGGGCTACAGGCTTCTTTAGTTAGGACTTTAGAATCTCGTGCCATCGATATATGGGTTGTCTCTGAAACCCGCATAGAGTTATTCATATGACGTTACTACGTCAACATAAAGAACCATCGTGGTTTATTCTCCGTGTATCTGGAAGCCCGACTCCTGCTTCCTGTGGCCTCAATGGTGTGGGCACATTACCGAGTTCTAAAGCAGAACTAGCACTCAGACTGGATGCTAATAGACAGTCGTTATGCGCTGTCCGAGACAGTAAGAACTCGGAAAGATATGGAAACTCGCCGTTGCTTCACTGTCGTCTCTGCCTACGCTCAAACTGATTTGAGTTCAGATGAGGTAAAAGAAGAGTTTTACAGAAATCTTTCCAACTTCCTTCGTAAAGCTAAGCCCTGATGTAATAATAGCGGCTGATCTTAATACCTATTTAGGTAAACTAAACGATACCGAAACACATTCAAGTAAACTTTACAGTGTCGAGGCTCATCGAACATATAATTGCGACCGTGTTGCAACTATTCCCAGACACCAACTTTAAGCGTAAGGATAAACTTCTTTTGACATGAAGATCACTAAAATCGAATCAATGCTGGATCCAACTAGACCACATAGCTCTCAGCCAACGATGGAGAGGTTGGAAAGAAGACTGACGCTTGTTTTGGAGAATATGTTTAGGCTCATGAATAATTAAGAGGACAGCTTTCTAGACGTAAAAAACCACAGCAATAAAACAAAGTGCAGTTCAATTTAATAATAAAGAAAACTCAAGAATATGTCTCAGAAACAACTGGAAACACAGTCAGTCATGTAAGTTATATTCACCTCGAGGCAGCTTGGAATGATATCCAAAAACCCATAGAACCAGCAGCGATATCTGCCAATACGTTAATCCAAAAGGTTACGGAGGAGCAGTGGATTTTAGAGACATCTACTCAACTGGAAGATGGTCAAAACTTACCCCGTCTGGTTTTAAACACGATGAAGACCGGAGGCCGATTAAACACAGGCGGATCAAAAGCCCACTCAATTATAATATACAGCGGAAGGTAGCGAAAGCAACAGAGGGAAAAGTAGCGATGATAGTTAACAACAGACAACTTTGAAACTGACCAAAGAAAAGGGTACTAGAAATCCTGCTGTTAACTAGGAAACTATTATCCAACTAGCTCTGATGGGAATAATTACTATCTCGTAACTTAAAACTTCATTTTAATCAAAACAATCTTTAAACGATAAATAGACTGGAAGATAGCTTACACCATGAAGTGAAAGTAGTCTTTTGAAATATTGGGAATATTCAAAAATAAAAAAAACTAAACTGGAATAATTAATAGATCGATTCCTAGTGTTCAGCACTTTTTTAACAAATCACATTTTATTATATAAAAGTGTTTTTACAAACCGAACGATTCGACACTATGCTGAAATCGCTATATATCTAAATCATAGCACTCGACATAAAGGTCAACTAAAAATAAAGTCATACTAATTTTGCATATGCGAATAGCATACAGCAATAAAGAATCAGTTGTATCAAGATATAATCTACAGTACTTTAATAATGTAAACTCCTGGTTGTTGAGAGTGCTAACTCCTGGCGAGCAGTCATCGTTACGTGTAGAAGATTCTTTTTTAGGATTGTATCTATTGCTATTGTTAGCATGAGAAGATTGCCAAAACAGAAGACGATCTCCACCAGATCCAGAGGAAGAAAGAAAAATCCCTCTTGGTATGATTTCTTTTTCATTCCAATAAATCAAACTTGAACCGACGTCTGTCATAGGAAGTTAGACTTTGATGAATGACAGTAGTCTCTGAAAGCGATAGTAAAAAACATTATGACATAATGATGCTGATAGTATGGGGCAAGAAACGTAAAACCGTATTAAATTTGCATTCGTAAAACGAAACTCAACTTATTACATAAAAACCAAGCTAGAACCGATTATGAAACGTGTATAATCTAACACTAGATATTCTAAAGTTGGTCTATATGGAAGGTTTTAAATTTAGTTGGTAAGGAAAAAATGACATACATTTCAATCCAGAAGTCTTAACACTATCGTTTCTCAAAACTTTCTATGGATCTTTTAGAGTTATTTTTGGGATTAAGTGATTTTTTGTATCAAAATGGAGTAAATTTTCAAGAAACAGTGATGATCTCTAATTAAAAGCAATTATCAGTGAACCAACAACTGGTAGGCAGATAATGACCAAGCATTTACCATTTTTAGAATTCTAATCATTATCTCTTAACAACCTTATCGACGAAAATGATTGGTCACTAAAACTGAAGACCCAAATTACTAAAAACATAGTGAAAAGCTGAATTAGGAATATCCAAAACAGATACATGTGGGAAGACAGATTATGCATACAGAAATCCCAGTTTACTTGAAGTTTAAAATTCATTTTATAGGTGAATATGATGATGAATATGGTAAACAAGGTGGGTCGAATGCAGATGGAAAGAAATGAATTAGCAAAGCAAGGCCAACATTTCTACGGTTGAACAACACCTGGGACTCGAAACAACTATCAACCAATACCAAAGTCAGAATTTTCAATACAAATGTCAAGACAGTTCTACTGTGTGCAGTAGAAACTTGGAAAACCATGAAACCTGGCATCCAGAAAATACAAGTGTTTATTAACAGTTGTCTATACAAAATGCTTCGGGTCCATTAGCCAGACACTGTCAGCAACAACTTACTATAGGAGAGAACAAGCCAGATCCAAGCAGAGGGAGAAATCAGGAAGAAGCCCCCGAGGTGGATAAGACGCATATTATGGATAGCACTCAACTGAATCATAGGGTAAGCCGTCACTTGAAACCTTCACGACCAAAGGAAAAGAGGAACACCAAATAACACGTTACGACGACAATCGGAACCAGAAATGAAGAGAATGAACGGAAATTGGGTATAACTGGAAAGGTCTAGAACATAGTTGATTTGAGAACGCTATTCGGCAGCCTATGCTCCATCAAAGGTAATAAGAGTAAGTAATGAATAAAGCCTACGGAAATTCGCGTTGAAATTCAAGATTCAATCCAAAGAACAGATAAATGAAGGTCGAGGGATGTTACGTTTGCTCTCCAGAGTCGTGATTGCGAATATTTAACCAGGGTTTACACAAAGTTATTGTAAGACTTCAAGTAAATAGGTAGATTAGTTTCATTTGTAACAAAGATGTAAAACAAACCATCATGTAAATGAAACGTTTGTTTGCTAAGGTAGCAGTTATAAGTTACGAAGTGCTACATCATCTCGTTATTATTCTGACTTTTTTCATAGGTATTGATTAAAAGTGACCAAGTAATACAAAGTAAGTAAAGGTGACTAGCTAAAAATAGAAAAGGATTGAACATAAAACGTCAACTCCAAGAACCATATTTCATTTGCACGATTTACATTCCTAATGGCGTTGAATAATACTGAGAATTGACTATTACTACTATCCGATAACATTTGTTTTTGTGTTATAAGGATCGATAATGATATTTTTGTAGGTTACCATCCAGAACAAACTCTTAATATAAGCTTGCATCAACACTGAAAAAGTACATCAATAGAAGGATAGCTATAAGCAGAATTAGATTTCGCAACAAAAGCAACAGTTTAAGAATTGTTTGCTAAAATAAAACGTTTAAACATCTTTAAATGTCAATGATGAATAGAAAGACCATGAGAGCTGAATACTGTTTTTCGGTATACTTCAGCCTTGAAATTATTCTACGAAAAATAGGATTTACTGCGTCCCTTTAGACTAACTTAGATTACACCTCAACAATCATTATGGTTCTCAATATAAGGACCCCCTTGTTTTGTTGAACAAGACTGCTATCTAGCACTGTCTGTTGAAGGGTGTTTGAGAAGTTTACTAACATCTCAAAGGCTTTATATACGAATGCCTGGTGGGATGAGGGCGTACAACCACCTGCATTCATTGTTCCATTTCAACAAAGGAGTTTGGCGAGATTATCAAGTTCTATCATTCTGTACCCCTAACCATCGACCAATATCACGTGACAAATGTAGAACAATCAGAACTGCTCTTAGCTGCAGAAACATTGAGTCACTTCCGAATCCCCATTCGTTAACAACTTGATAGGTTCTTTTTTAGTACCCTGCCTCTTAGTCAAGAAGTTCGTAGCTGGTCCAAAAAACTCTATAATTTCAGGAATTTCCTAAATTTCATTTAAATATATAAGCAATAGTACAAATGAGGCACTAACATATTTATGCGCCACATAAACTAATGAATTTGTAAATGGGCTAGGGTACAGCTCGGACGCCTTCTTAGGAACCACTCCTCAACCTTTGACCTACAGGTTTAATGCAGAAGGCAGTGGATTAAAGTAAGGGGATGCAGTCCCATGGTAGCGAGTGATCAATGACAGGTTCATATGCCATCCGTTCTGTCAGGATCCCGTAGCCCATGTATATCACTCGTTTGGGACCGAGGTTTTCCAACGCCCTCAGGTGGGTGCGTTGTAAACACCAACCCAACTAAAGCACCGGACACTAGCTTTCCATCCTCTCAATTCGACAAACGACACCCACGTCACGAAATATTTGAAACGGACATAGATACCAAACATACCACAGCACAGCACAGCACACCATAGAATGATAAAATACATTTATACATGAGTAACCCAAAAGTGGCTATGGATAAGGAAGACCGTAAATACTAAACTAGCAATAGATTGAGATTGATAAATCACACAACGGTAATTTATGGGTTGATAGGAAATCCATAATAAAAGGAATTATATATATATATATATATATATATATGTATATATATATACATATATATATATATAATCTAGTTAATAATTATGCGATGAGAATATATACACTGATCCATAAGTTAGTCCTAGATGTTGCCATTTCTTTAATCTTACCCCGGATATCGCACATTATCACTATCATACTTTACATTCGATAACATTCTGGAAACCTATCTGATTCAGTGTTGCTGAAAATTCCACTAAATCAGAAACCTAGGTTTACGATAGAACTCATCTAGCACAGAAAAATCGTTGGGCTTGCAATTTAAAAATTTATATAGATTTTAGAGGCAACCAACTTTTAGAGTATTGGTGATTTCATGAAAAACGGAATACAGTGGGTGCTGGATCAATTTGCAAAACCTAAGCACTGTTTTTCATCTATATAAAACCTTTCCTGATATTTTGAGATCTGGGTCACAAACAGCTGATATATGAAATAGTTGAACACATAAGAAGCACTTTAGTGTACAAACTAAAAGAATTCCTGTATGTTCGTAACTTCAGTTTGAATTATATGGATGATAATTACTACTTTCTAACAGTGAGCAGGAATGGATTTTTTGCTGTATCGAAGGGCTTGAAAATTTGACCACATTAAGCAGATGTACCATTCCCGAAAAAAGTGAGTTCGAAACCAATATCTACACACTATTTACGAATTAAATTATGATCAAGTTAAAACTCGCTAGTTGAGATAGTCAATTTTTTGTGAAGGGGTGAAGCTTATTTCTAGAAATATAGTAAGGTAATAATAATAATAATAATAATTTATTCTCAAATAACTAAGTTACAAGAGACACGCCAGTTTACAGGCTAGATCAAATTGTCACAAATGCTTTTACAATTACTGTAAAAGTTATAGCAGTTAAATTAAGTATAAGAGACAGTTTCTGATTGCATATTTACACCATATCACTGACAGAAACAGTATTATACAGCCACATTTTCAATATTAGAGTACAAATGAGGAAGGTGCACAATAGGTTCTATTGGCGATTGGCCGAGATCAATAGTGAATTTGTTGGGAAAGGTCATATGGAACGCGCTTGATACGAGCTGTGATCCAGACAGTCGTGTACATCGGGTGCATGTTCCCTAGAGTTGCCAAGGATTACCCACCGTGAATGGGGTTCTGAAAAGGAGAAAAGAGAGAGGAAAAGGCAGCAGTGTGGCAAGTGTATATATATAACCAAAGCACTACTTAACCTGTCATGTTAAAGTAGTCAATACAGTAGTAAGTCAAGATAACATTCATACTGACCACTTAAATTAAAGTAAATTATGGGAATATAAGAATATAACACACAGATAAAGGAGTACAGCAAAAAGAAGGGAGAGTTGTGCAGTGTCAGGTGGATAGAAGAGAAGTCGAAGTAAGAAGCTGGATTTATGTACGTTGAAATCGAAATTCTAGTTAAAAGAGTAGAGTTTGTAAAAATAAATATTTGACGAATAAAATCTCGCACTGTCTAACTGTTTTTTTTTCTTTATTATTGAATGCCAACCTCTAAGTCATACTGTAAGCGCCTGAGTAAGAATGTTGCAGGTGTCTCGACAGAATAGCGACCTCAGCATAGTTTTGGAAACATGAACCACAGAAGTAGCAAGCGTATAAGAGCAACCTCAGTGTTACTGATTAGTCGTCTCATCAATCTAAAGAGCCGAAAGCAAACAAAATGTTCTGCCCCACAAACATGGGTTGTTTGAAGTTATCGCCCATACCATCAATGTTTGCTGGTCAGTAACTCCACCCTCCCTCCTTTTGTGTTGTTAGGCTCATGTTAAATGTTTAAAAGAAGCTATTGAGTTCTACTTGGTGTTCTATGTCTCGCATCCTGTTGAGAAACACTATTTCTGCAAGTTCCTTTCACAAACTCGTCTGGCTATTACAACTTATGAACTATTGGTTAGGCATCAATGCTATACAGTTAACAGTTATGGAGAAATAGTAAGAATTTTCAAACAAGATATAAGCATTTTGAATGTAGTGGGGAAGATGTACTTAACTAGCTAA